CTTTTTGCAAAAGGGCATTTTGGCATGCTGCACTCCAGGAGCTTTTTGCAAAGGGGTGTTTTGATGCACCGTGCTCCAGGAGCTTTTTGCAAAGGGGCTTTTTGCAAAAAGGCTTTTTGGAGCAAGAAGATGGCAGTGGGGCGGTGGAGTGCAGGGAGGCAGGGATCTCCAAGTGCACGGTGAAGAGAGCAACTGCAGCTGGGACTGGGCTGGAGTGGCTGCAGCTTCCTGGGGCGTGGCAAGCAGCCCCGAAGCTGTGCGGTTCTGCAGGGTGAAGGGCAGCCAGAAAGGCAGAGATGGGGGGGAGATAGGCAGGTGAGGGGAGTTGGAGGGAGTCCCTTACCTTACGGAGGCTCAGGCTGAGGGGAATCAAGCCCGGAATGGCTTGGATCAGGGTGGGCACTCATTTAACGACCCACGATTCTCAGTTAACAACCCCAACCAGGACTGCCGGGATTGCAGTTGCTAAGTGATGCAGACATGTAACTCTTCCTTTATGGCCGCATTGCTTAGCAATGGAACTTCCAGTCCCAATTGTGGCCATAAGTCGAGGACTAGCTGTAATGCAAAGAACCATGGTGCTGCAGTAGCATAATCTGCAAAATCACAACTTTCTTCTCCTTTATATGTAAATATCTATTGATCCTGATTCGGTAAAATATATCACCATTGTTAACTGGTTAACTAGTTGAGTGAGTATACCTGCATTTTATTGTCCTGACTTTATTTTATATGAGGGAATTATTTTCTTCTTAAAAGTATGAAATATAGTGGTACCTTGGGTTACGAATGCCTCTGCTTACGAACGTTTTGGGTTGCAACCAGCTCCGGCCGCAAAAATTTACCTCGGTTTGCGAACTCCACCTCGGGGTACGAACCGGATCTGTGGCCATTTTTCCGCCTGTGCCACGTGGTCCGCGGCCATTTTTCCGCCCATGCCACGTGGTCCACGGCCGTTTTTCCACCCTGCCATGCGGTCCGCAGCCATTTTTCCGCCCTGCTGCGCGGTCCGCGGCCGTTTTTCCGCCCGTGCCACGTGGTCCGCGACCGTTTTTCTCCCCTGCCGCACGGTCCGCGGCCATTTTTCCGCCCTGCCACGTGGTCCGCGGCCATTTTTCCGCCCTTGACGCGTGGTCCGCGGACGCCGGAACGGATTAACGGTAATTACATTGAACCTTATGGGAAAATTTGCTTCGGGTTGTGAACAAATCGGGTTGCCACCAGAGTCACGGATTCATAACCCGAGGTACCACTGTATTTGAATAATCCCACAACAAGACCATTGGTTATTATCAAAGGTAAACCAAATGAATGGAACCTGTTCAATGAACTGGTTAAATAATTACAATAAAAGCAATAAAAGAAACATTATCAATGTTATCCTTACAAACAACAATCCATGCCAATATTAAGCATTTTTATGTTTAAAAATATTAATTAATATATATATATAACTAATATATGATAAATATATTCTACTAGTACTAAGCTAAACATTTAAATTTTAAGATACCTCTGCTTCTACATCCACATTCTGTTTCAGAAGCAACTTCAGAATGTCAACATGTCCATTCTGACTTGCAGCTTGCATAGCTGTGTGTCCTGCACACTGTCCATTCACCTGAAATATAATGTTAATCATATCAAGGAAGTTTAAAATTAAACATTAATTATATACCCATGCTCATTAATAGCACTATAATGTCAAGAAGAAAAAAAAGTTAAAATAGGTTATATAACATACTTTACATTTTAAAAATGTCTTTGGAGATCTGATCAATTGTCTTTCCACACTATCTTTAATTTACTAAGTATAATAAATAAGGAACTATATCTTATGTCTATTAAAAGTTTTTAGATTTATGCATGCTGCCATAAACTATGAAAGAAAGGCAGAATACAAACACATTAATTAATGAATTAAGTACTGCAATGTTAGTTTTAAAAAAATGAATGGAAAAATTATCTGGGTGGCAAGGTGAGGACAATTTGATAAGATTGGATTAATTACCTGTTTCCCAAAACCTTATCTTTATATCACTCCAAATAATAATTATTCAGACTATATTATAATTTAAACATCTTAGGAGGCAAACTTTGGAAGCATCTGAAGCAAAACAGTGCATTAAAAAAAAGCAATGAACCAAATGTCGAAGTGGGTAGGTTCTCTTACTTTCAAGCATACTATAATTAACTTCCTATTTGCAGCAGCATTTCTGAAAGAAAAGTCTATCTTTGTTTTGACTTCAAAGTGTTGTCTTTCCAAGAACCTCTAATTATTGATCAGAAACTCTTACTTCCTTTTATATATTAGGAATTACATATTTAAATGCTCACATCTACATCAGGTCTCTTAAGCAAATCTTCCACTTTGGCTACATCTCCATTAGCAGCTGCTTTAACCAGTTCTTCATTAAGATCCCCAGATTCTTGAGTTTCAAATAATTTCTTCAACAACTGGGACAATCTCTCTGTGAATATTAAATGAAGCAATTAAATTTTACCATGTGTATAGTATCTGAATTTAGTGTTACATTTGAACAAAGTATTTTTTACTTAAGTAATATCACAATATTCCAAACTGCTTTACTATTTGCTATTTGCCTAGATTGTGATCGCATACACAAAAGCAGCAAGCATTTCCTACAATGGAAACATTATGGTGAAGCAGATATCCATGAGTCTACCAAAAGCAAACTTAAATGTTATTTATCATCTGCCAGATTATGA